ACGTCGCTGCTACTACAAGAACGACGTCGTCATCAGACGACCAGCGAGTAAAGCCAACGACAACAATGATCACCGCTCGCTCCCTTCCCGCTCATCATACTACGATCTCCTCCTTCTGCTCCTCCTCCTATTCGTCGTCATACACACTCTTGTTCAATTCTCCTCCTGGCCTGGGCTTCAAAAAGAGCGTCTTGCTCTGACGAACAAAGGTCGTCACGAGGGCACAACGACATCGAAGTTGGACAACGAGAAGGAACGATAAAGCGACAGAGACAAATGAAAAAACAGCAGAAGAATCAAACAAGAACCGAAGGAGCAGGAGGAAGAGAAGGAGAAGAAGGAGAAGGAGAAAGTTATATAATGAACGGCAAGGAGGGACCTGCGATCTTTCTTGCCTTGGCTTCACTCTCTGCTCGCCTCATGAGACTTCGCACTTGAGTCTGAGCCAAGTCTTAGTTGAAGGAAGAGAACGAGAAAGAGTGAGAACAAGATGCTGCGAGCAAGACAAGGGAAGGGGAGAAGTAGCAGCTGGAAGAGAGAAAGGTTTGTGACTTACCATGGCAACGTCTCGCTCTCGCTCTGCTTCTTGTTTGCTGGGATGTATGTTAGCAAGGCATTGAGGTAGAATGTGGGAAAGTGGAGCAAAAGGCAGCAGCAGCAGGTGGAAGAGGAGGGTCACATCTGGATGGCCTCGAACGCTTCGATCTCGGCCTCATGCTTCTCCTGCATAGCCTAGAGAAAGGTCAGAGGGCGTGGGGAGGAGGAACCAAAATCCAAGAAGCAGATAATGATGAAGTGAAATTGAGACGGTATGAGATTGTGAGATGCGAAAGTATTTGAGATAAGGAAGAAGTTGCGAGAATAGCAAGAAGCGAGATTAGGTAGCATTGGGAGTGAAAGGCGTGTGCTGATGGTTCAGTGCAGACCTGAGCAGTGAGCGCCTCTGCTTCCATCTTCGCGATCTTCGCGTCTTGAGCTTCTTGTTGAGCTGCGAAATGAAAGAAAGTGAGAAGAATTTCCCCTCCTCTCCCTTCCCTCCCTGTCCCTTCCTCTCCAACCTTTCATCGCCCTTTCATCTGCAAGAGATCTCTCAAGCTCTGCTGCCTTCTGCGCTGCTCGCGCATTTTCGCTGATCATCGCAAACTCAGTCTTCTGAGCTTCCGCTTTCTGTTTGAGTTCTCAAAAGGAATGTAGATAGGAACGTAAGACCTCACTTGTCTCAGATCAATCTCTTGTTGTTTTGCTCTCTCAGACCTGTCAAGCAAGGCATTACACTTCCTTCTCTATACTTCTCACCTACTCTCGAGCTCTTTCATTCGCGTTTTCAGCCTCTTGCTTGGCCGCCTTTGACAGCTCTGCCGCCTGCTGGGCATTCTCTTCCGCCTGCGGAGGAAGTCAACTGCAATTGTCACGGGGAAGTCATTTGATCTCACAATCTTGCGAGCTTTCGCTTCAGCGGCTGCGACAGCTTCTGCTCTCTTCATTGCGTTCTCTTTGTTCGCAAGTTCGTTCTGCCATCACAGGTCAGTGTCATAGGTCGAAGTCGAAGTCAGCTTTCTCATCACCACTACCACAACCTCCTCCTCCTCCTCCTCCTTCTCTCTTCTCTCTCTCTCTCTCTCTCTCTCTCTCTCTCTCTCTCTCTCTCTCTCTCTCTCTCTCCTCCTCCTCCTCCTCCTCCTCCTCCTCCTCCTCCTCCTCCTCCTCCTCCTACATCACCACCACCACCACCACCACCACTATCTGCTATCCAACGTGCCCTACCACTACTACCACCACAACCACCACCACCACTGCATGACTTACAAGCGCCTCTTGCGCTCGGTTCTCTGCTTGCAGTGCAAGCGACTTTGCCTCTGCGCAGTTGTGAGGAGGAAATGAAGTGAAGAAAGGAAGTCAGCTAACCTGCTGCTGCGCTGCGAGCCTTCTCGACTTCCAAATTTGCGATGTCGGCAAGCTGATAAGACATTCAAAACCAAGGAGAGGACGAAAGGAAGAGAAAAAATGGGGCAGGGAACGAAAGTACAAAACGAGAAAAGATCACCTTGCGTGCTTCGCTCGCCGCCATGATCGCGGCTTGCTTGTCCTTGTTTGCTTGGCTTGCTACTTCCTGTAGCCTCAAGTGAGGAAGAGGAGAAAACAAGAACAGAGTGTAGGCGCAGTTGCAAGAACAAAGAAAGGGAGAAGGGAGTCAAGCAAGGACGATGATGAGCAAGAAGAGGGGATTGAAGAGGAACGAAACAAAGAAGACATGAAGAAGGAAGGAAGAGGATCTCACTTCAGCAGCGGCCTTGCTTGCTTCAGCAGCTTGACAAGTGATGATCAAGTTGTTTTTCTCATTCTCTGAAGGCCATGTAAAGTAAGAAAGCCTCGATGGACCCAGAACACAACAATTCAGGCGTTCAATATCAACATACAACAGTTCATGAATCGCATGTTTGGATAGCAGGTCAAATACCACGTGCCAAACAAGATGTATGAAAAAGGGCGCAAATTTGCATCACAGACATACATCACAGCTGGCTTGCCTGTTCTTATCCGGTTCGAAATCTCCTCGTTCATCTTTGCCTCTGCAACCATCCGAGCATCATCTGCAAGAGAATCAATCTCCATTGCCGCATGGTTGAGAAACTCCTCCTCCTCCTCCTCCTCCTCCTCCTCTTCTTCCTCCTCCTCTCCTGCTCCCCATCTGCCCTTCTGCTCTCTCCCCTCCTTCTCTCCCTTCCTTCTCTTCCTTCCTCCTCTTTCCCTGGTCCGACCTGCAGCTCGAGCCAACTTCTCAGCTTCGCTGCACATCAGGAGTCAGGAAGCAAACGGCATTCTCTAGTCTTCACCATCTCGAGTCTTCAGCCCTCTTGCTCTCCTCTTCCGCCAACTTCCGGGCCTGCGGCACAATAGTGAAATGGGAGGGAAACGTCGAGCCTCTTCACTTTGGCTTCGGTCAAACACTGAAGAAGAGCTCGTTCTTTATCGTTCTCCGCAATCAGTCTAGCCGACTCTGCGATTTCCCCCCAAGTTAGAGAGCATGAATACACATTGCATGCAAAAAAATCAATGAGACATTACACGACAATCGAATGAATAGACAGCAGAATCATGATTGATCAGTGGAGCATAGTCAAAGTTGGGAAGCTGATAGGAAACCTTAACTCAAGGGACCTGAAGAAACACAGCCAACAAGAAACACGCAAGGTTCTATCACCAGCTAGCGAACGCAGTCCGTCGGCTTCTGCAGCTACCAGCTTCGACTGCGACTTACCATCAGCAAAGAAAAGCAGTCACCACGGAGAGAAGCCAGACCTTTCTCTCTTTCTCAAGACATTCTTCAGCGTAGATTTCAGCTGCTTTCTGCAAGGAGAATCTCACGGTTTGTAATTCTGGATTATGGATAAGTACCTGAAGCTGTTGAGCTTGACGAGCCAGCTCTTCGAACTGTGCAAAGAAGTGCTAGTCAAGGAAGGAGAGCTACAGCGCTCCCTCCCTCCCTCCCTCCCTCCCTCCCTTCCTCCACCTCTGCATCCATCCATCCACCCATCTATCCATCCTTCCATTCCTCCCTCCCTCCCTCCCTCCCTCCCTCCCTCCCTCCCTCCCTCCCACTTTTAGACCTGTATCTTCTGCTCTTTTGCCAGGTTCATCTCCTATTCTCACATGGTGAGTAGCGTCAATCCACACAAACTTGTTGTTCCTCACTTGCACTGCTTTTTCTGCTTGTTCGTTTGCCTACGTAGAGAGAAAATTCAACCTCAGAGTTCAAACATTTGATCATAATCACCATGGCTTTCTCAAGATTTGCGTGCTTGGCCATCTCCACAGCATTTCTGTCCTTTCACGTCAACATTTCATTTTTAAAGTATCAACACGACGAATGAAGGCTCTTCACGGCTGCTCAGATAAATAGTTCCAGAGTAGAACTCCTCGAAGTTTTACGTGTCAGACAGGCAACTTGCCTGCATTCTTCAGCAGACTTCAGAGCTCTTGCCTCGGCTTCTTCAGCCGCTGCTTGCGCAGCTTTGGCAGTTTTCTTGCAAAGAAATCAGCGCTCTTTCTTTCAACAAACGTAACATCACCTCCATCTCTTGTCTTTTCATGCATTCATTCTTGCAGAATCGGGTCAGATCTTCTCTTATTCTCACTCTTCCTTTGTCTTCACCTCGCAGTCTTTCTCTGCCATCCTTCTTGCCTGCAGAAAAAGTTACAAGGAGAACAAGGAGAGCGTGTGCTCTACCTTAGCTTCTGCTGTTGCCATCACCTCGCATCTGAGCCTTCCCCTTTCTGCGATCTCCTGCACAACGAAGCAACCGTGACCATCAGGTGGACCCTACAGGCATTCTTGCTTGCTCACCTTCTCAGTCATAGCTTGGATTTTGTTACGCTCGGCAATCTCAGCCTTGATTTCTACGTTGTTGAAACTAAGAAGGCAAGAGATTGATGAAATGAAAACAATCACCAGCTTGTTTCAGCTGATCGATGGCCTTGAACCAAACACGTCAACTTTCTAATCTTCATACTCAACTCTTCTGGTTCCTCACCTTTGCTGTTGCGACCTGTGCAGCCTCTGCATTCCTTTCAGCGATCATCTTTGCCTGCCATGTCGACATCACAAGAATTCCGTCGCATCTCATCTCATAATCTTTTACTTGTTCGGCAAGGCTCTTGAGATCATCGGCCTCGAGCCTCAACGAACTCTCAAGCTGAGCTCTCTTCTCAGCCTCAGCTACCAGTAGCTTCATCTGCCATTTCGAAATGCATCAGCTCTGACTTGCCCTCCATCTTAGAGCGTCAGGGCAAACCTCCGCAACTGTTCTTTCAGCCTCGGATCTCAGAGCTTCGGCAATGGCACGATCTTGATCGGCCTTAGTCCTGGAACGAGCACAAAGAACGTGAACCAACAAACGTTCCCAGTGATCATCTACTTCGCAGCAACAGCCTCATCACGGGCATCGCGCAGCGACCGAAGTTGTGAATCGCACTCAGCCTTCAACCTTAGAAGCTCTTGAGCATGGCTGCCATGGAACATCAGCGGCATTATATGGATGCAGTACATCCTGACCTCGCTTGAAGGGATCGAAGAGTGTCGTTGAGGTTTTGTACTTCTTTCGTCAACTTATCATTCTTGTCCTTCTCTGTCTCTAGATCCTTCTTGAGCTCGGAGATTTCTTGCTCAGTCTTCCTCCTTGCCTTGGAGGGTATCAGTGAATCTTGCAAACTCATCCCGCCTTCACCTCGTTCTCGATCGCTCGGAGCAGGGAAGTTTTTTCCTCAGCACGCTCAAGATCATCCTGCAACTCCTCTGCCAGGTAGCCCAGAGTTTCGTTGGTCAGGAGGGACTCAAACTCTTCGTCCGCGTGCGATCTCGTCCGGACGTAAGTTGACCCATCTTGCTTCGACTCGATCAGAGTCAGCTCGCCAGGCTTCGTAGCGGAGGTAAGGATCCGATCGATCCTTCCTCCATCCCACACCACTGCCAGAGAAGAACAACCATCAGCAAGGACCGAAGGACACGTCTACCATCACCAGCGACATCTTGAGATCCCACTTCGAAGATGGTTCCGATGCCATGCTGTCTGAATGGGGTTGCCATCGAGACGCGCATGCCGACTTTCGGCTGGACATCCTTGCCGATGAACTTTTCTTTCGCGCTCGACATCCTGTAACGTTATTTGTTAGCCTTTTCCTAACGGACCAGAACTAGCAAACCTGGCTCAACAATGCTGGAATGTCGATGATCAGGCAAAAATACCTGTCAAAGGTGTCAGAGGGGAGAAACAGACTCGTCGCAAGGAAAGAAAATCACTTTCATTTCTTCTTTGCAATTGAATGCTATTCCGACCAACTATGTGAATCACCTAAAGCAAGTACACCTTCATTCTCTCCCTACTCTTCCGGGGTTACTCCTACTCGGACTAGGAATCTATCAGCTCATGTCTATCAACTCAGTGTTTGTGTTGCATATCATCAATGATTCATGTTTACTCATGAATCTCTCCCGATATCCTCCAAAAATGCATCATTCAGCATGTCAGATTCCTCTGTGTCCTGTCACAAAGAGCACTGCAAATCCTACATCTCATTTTCAAAATCACTGCACAATATTCATCTTTGCAAAAATAATTCGGAGCCGCCGAACTCCTGTCGAGGTGCATCTCAAGGAAATCAGTGATACCTGTGAAAACAAACTTGACTGAGAATTTCAAATACTCGGAAGAGAATTCAAAAATGCCGAAATGTTCGTCGCTCCGACATCGGAGCGAAAACATTGACTCGCGTAAGCTCAAACTTCTTCTTTGAAATTCAAATTTTGAGAAGAGAAAATGAAAACATTATGAGCCGGCTCGGAGTTGATCCGATAGAAATCCCGGCCTACCCCTACCCTACCCCATCGTCGAACCTCTCAAAATTTCCTCTGGAATCCCCTCATCCCACCACTTACTTGTACCCTCAAAAGATCCAATTTCGTACCCCCACCCCCTCCTTCGACCCTGTGAATCCCACAAAATGATCTTAGAGAGGATTGTGCTACTACCCCTTCAGTCAAGATACCCCACCTACTCTTTACTCCTGAAACTACCCTACTGAATAGGTGGGCTGACCCTTCGTTGGGACTCGAAAGGGCAGGGACACCGGTACGATTGATATGGCACCGTCACCAACCCCCCATATGGTACTGCAAGGTACCCACCTACTGGAGTTAAAACACGTAGCACCCCCCGATGCGAAATGTTATTGCTATCACGGTACCCGGTGGTATTCCGATGCACCCCACGACTTTCCCGACACAAATGAAGGGGTACTACCTATCACCTCTATGTGAAAAAGGCATGAATGAGGGGTAGTAGGGTCATCAGAGTACCCCCTCACTCCTCTCTCTATAGGATTCTTTCAGTACCGCCTCATCGGACCTTGACTAGTTTGTTTTGACCGAGGGGAGGTAGGGTACTAAACTTCAGGGGTAGTTTCATCGGGGGACGGGTATACTGTATGTGATGACCCGTCTTTCAAGATGAAAGCGAGTGGAAATCAGGTGGTAGGGCACCCTTGAACGACAGGAGTCGGATCCTGTACCAGAGGGTAGGTGCGTTTGGAGGTGGGGTGCAGCGAGGAGAGGAATGGCAGCGACGAAATGCTGTTTAGAGTAGGAGAACAAGGAATGGAGTAAGAAAGAGTGAAGAGAGATTATCATGGTTGAGTTCTTGAAATGTTAGAGACAGAGAACAGACAAGTCGTTCTGAACGGTGGAGACTTTGCAGCGATGGAGTAGAAACAAGGATTGCAAGCCTGTCGTGAGAGTTTATCGTTTGAAGTTTCGAGAGCATCTATTCGGGTTGTGGTTGAGTTGTCTTGATAGGATTTTATGTCCTCAAGGTTACCGGCGATGCCAACTCTTCAAGACAAAGACGTCAAGTTTGTTGGCAAAGATGCCGAGCCTAAGGTCGGCATGAGAGTGAAAATGGCTCCCAATCTTCGCCAGCACGGACTGGGAACCATCTATGACATCGGGAAAGGCGATGTTGGAGGTATGCTCCGAACATGCTTGAACCTTGTTGTCTTACTGTCGAGGCAGTCGCATGGGATGGTGGACGCATGGATCGTGTTCTCGTGTCTGGCGTGCAGAATGGAGAACTCTCCCTGGTGACTGCAAACATTGACAGCACCTACTCGAGGACAAGGTCGCACACCTCGGCCGACAAGGCTCCCACCAACAACAAGGCCTTATCATCCCTCGCTGAGGAGCTGCAGGATGACCTCGAGCGTGTGGAGGAGAAGACTGCTCTCCTTCGTGCTGCAGAAATCGAGGTTGGTGGGAACATGGAAGAGGTTGAGACTTAACCTCTCTGCAGGCAAGACGACGTGCTGAAGAGGAGCTTGCCATCGCTCTGAAGGAGGCAGAGGAGTGCAAGAAGACCAATGAGAAGCTCAACAAGGACGTCTCTGGACTGAAGGATACCCTCAAGGCAACAGAGAAGAAGTTAGCCCGTTGGTTTGCTACATCTGCGATTTACTTTCCTGCAGGTACACGGAGCAGGTCGCAGACTTGAAAGCAGATTACGAACAGCAGCTTTCTTCGCTCAGAGATGCTCGTAACGAAGCAATCAACGAGCGGTGATGATATCTCATAATCGAGTTCGTTACGTTTGATGAGAGTTGTCATTAGGGATCAGAAAGAAATCGCTCGTTCGAAAGAGCAATTGCAGAAGGAGATTGCTCAAGGAAAAGCCAGTAAGAGCGTCATTTTCACGAAAATTCTTCAAACTTACACTGCAAACCAAAAAAGAGGAAGAGGAGGTTTTGAAGCAAGATGCGATCAAAAAGTCCGAGGAATACTTCAAGGCCAAGACTCAGGTAATTTTCTGAAATCCCTCACATGGTCGGTACATTAATCGTTGCTCAAGGCTGAGGAGAAGACTGCGGCTGCTGAGAAGGTACTGCCACACCTTGAAGTGGACCAACAACTTGTTGACCATGAGTACTTAGGCGGAACGATTGGAAGCCGAGAAACGCAAGGAGGCGGAGGATCGGACCGCTGCAGCTCTCAGCAAGCAGAAGGAAGCTGGTGAAAGAAGAGCCGTATTGAGAGTTTTCTTGAACACTAACTCTTGTTGCAGAGAACGCTAAGGTCACCGCTGAAGCAAGAGTGGTTGTCTTGGAGAAGGTGCAATCTTGTTGCTCTGCCCTCTTCTTGTTCTAAAATCCATCGTCTCTTCCAGGATGTCGCAGCTGCCGAAGCCGCTCGTGCCCGCCAGGAGAGCATCGCAACCGCCGAGGCGAAGGCAAGGTGACATGCAGTAGGTTGATATCACTGGTTATCTAAACAACTTCTGCAGGCACACTGCCGAGCAGGAGGCAGCAGTGAGCATCATCTCTTTTTTTCTCCTTGCCAGCCTTTGCTCTTCTCATACCGTGACTGTCAACAGAAAGAGCTTGCGAAGGCCCTGGACTTCCAGAGGAAGGCCGAGCTGGTTCGATCGATCGGATCCGTTCCACTTGCTTCAGGCTGATTGATCCTTTGAAGGCCATCATTGCCCAGCAAGAGGCCCTTGCGAGAGAGGATGCAGCATTCCACCAGGCGAAGCTCGACAGGTCGATCTCTGTGACCTCCTCTTGGATCTGATGGGGCGCTGCAGGCAGAAGTTGGCTGAGGCCGAGATGAAGGTTGCTGAGGTAGGGGAAGAGAGTTGTTTCTGTGCCTCCAGTGATTCACTTGTGCAGATGAAAGAGGCTGTCACGCAAGCGGAACAAGCACAAGAGATTGCCGAGCGATCAGAGGCCGCCATGTCCCAGCAACTCACCCGAATGCAGGCAAGCTTGTGCAGTGTAGGCTCAGTTGATTCCCTGAGCTTCACCCTAGTTGGCTCTTGAGGCAGCTGAAGCTGCCGCTGAGCACGCCAGGCAAGCAGCTGCTCAAGCGAAGGCCAACGCAGAGAGGGCCGACGGTCTCCGAAAGATTGCAGGTTGGCACTTGGAGGGTACGACCACGGGTGACAGTTGAACAGAGGAGGAGACTCTCCTTGCGGAGGCAGCCAAACAGCGAGCGATAGCGAATGCTGAAGCTGAAGCCAAAGCTCGCAAGAGGTGAGAGAAGGGAGAAGACAGAAGGGAGACGAAGGGTTTCTTGTTGCCTCACGAGTCTCGTCAGGGCGGAGCAGGATTGCGCCATGGAGAGCAAGCTTCGCGTTGCCGCCAAGGCTTCTCTTGCCGCTGCTCTCGAGGACTTGAGCAAGATGAAGGTGAATTCATGTTGCAGAGAACGAGTTTTAACAAAAAATTCAGGCTGCTTTCGACAGCGAGAATGCTCTTCGCAGAGCTGCTGAGTCGGACCTTGCCAATGAGAAGATCCTCCGCAAGCAGGCAGAGGAAGCTCTTGCTCAGAGCAACGACGAGAAGGCCAGACTGATTAAGGCCAGAGACAGTGCCCTGGTATAACATCATGATGTCTTGGCGCCCTTCCCACTTTCCAAACTCTTGCCTGCCCTATCATCCCTTCTATCCCTCCCACCCCCTCGCTACTTGCTGTTACCTGTTAAGTGCGTCCCGTCCTCTCAGTACAGTGATCATGACACAGGCTGACGCGCAAGCAAGAAGAGATGAGCTGGCAGCTCTGAAGAAGGAGATGGACGATCTCCTTGCCAAACTCCGCAAGGTGAGGGTGACGGTCTTTATGAGAACATGATCATGATGTTCGAGCAGGCCGAGGATGACCTTGCCGTCGCTCTCCGCGAGAAGGCTTCGGCTGAGCAGAATGCGCAGGATCTTGCTCGCAAGCTGCAGGAGGTGAGAGTGCGGAACCTGGAGGTGAGAGGGACTGACGTGCTTGTGATCGCAAGTCCAACGGCAAGCTCCAGTTGGAGAGGAACAACGTCAAAGAGCTCAAGGAGAACCTGGCCATCGAGACATCCAGACGCGAGCAGGCAAACAGCCAATTTCAGTCCGGCTGCCATGGTGACGCGAATCTTTACAGCTCGAGAAGGCCATGCAAGACCTCGAGGCTCAGCTCCGTCTGCTCCAGGAGCAGCTGAAGAGAGAGGTGGAGAGCCGCAAGAGGTCTGAGCGAGCGATCTAGCTCAGCGCTTTGATCGAGCCTCCAGGGCGGAGTCGGAGGCTATCACCGAGCGCGAGTGAGGAGAGAGATCGAAATCCGCCATGAGCCTTGCGATGGAATCATCGCCGAGCTCAGGTGACCAGACCTGCCAAGCTCCCTCCATCCTCCCTGCTCCCTCCACCCTGCTCCCTCCCTCCTCTGGTCTAGAAGTGCCTTAACTCTGTTCTGCAGGAGGCAGATTGAAGCTCTCAAGGCTGAGTCCCGCATGAAGCTCAGTGCACCTGCTCCTCGTAGGAAGGCAGGAGTCGGTCTCCTTCTCGGGAAGTTTGATGTGAGCATTGTGCATGCTGCGAGAAACCAGAACTCACGACGCTGCAGGATGACCATCACACACATGCCGACAAGATTTACATCCTCCAGGTATCTCCTCCTCCATCTCTCCCTCCTCCCCTTCCCCTCCTCCATATCTTCCTCCTCCTCCTCTCATTACCCTTATTCTCGTCTTTCTTTCCTGCTACCCTGTGCTGACGACTGGGAAGGTGGTGCCTGGAGGAGCAGCCTCCGAGAACGGCTTGATCCAGGTGGACGACATCCTCGTCTCCGTTGATGCCAGGCGTGTCGAGGTGAGAGCGCAAACTTTGTAGTTGACGAGCAGCTGAACTAGAGCAGAGCATGGAGCTCGACCAGGTCTTCAGCATCATCCAGGACTGGGAGGGCACCGAAGTCGAGCTCCAAATGGAGCGTAAGGACGGTTCCAGCTACAACGTCCGTCTCCGCCGCAAGGTCACCCCGCAGTTCCAGTAGGCAGTTCATGCTGTAGACCCAAAGCAGCAGGGACAGCAAGTGCTGAGAAAGGAAGTAAGAGGAATCACCTCCTCCTCCTCCTCTCAGCCTTACCGTGCGAAGAAATAGAAAGCCAGAAGACTGGAGGCTTCGCCGATCTGCGCATTAAAAATTTCCACCGTGAGGTCCTCGCAGTCTTTTCCTCTCCCTCTGCCTACCCAAGATGCAGCCAGCCCACCGAAGTAATCCCCAACCAGCCCGGACGCGTTCCTGGACGAGGCACCTCGGGTCAGCTGACCTCGAGCACGACAGTTCTCCACCTGAAGCCCTGCTGAGAGGCCGCGAAGATGAGGGTGAGGAGGAGAACGAAAGCGAGAGCAGCTTCCTGGTAAAGGCATGAACTAGCATGAGGAGCAGAGGGCAGGGACCTCAACGAGGATGCGAGGAGAGGAGGAGCTGTTGAGTGCCGCGGAAATGCTGGTAATGCTCCTCCTGATGCGATACGCGATTGGGAGAGCAAACAAGAAACTCCAGCTGTTTTCAGCGAGCTCAGTGCGAGGAAGCGAACAAAGTGCCTCACATCCAAACCCACAGCCAAGTTGGGTTTTGATGCTTCACGTTGACCTGCCGTGATCGTTGATGGAGATAACAACATCAGTACAACATTGTCATACCACAACAGTGATGAAGAAAATGCAAAAAATCGTGAAGAAAAAGATGAAAATCCTCTGCCGCCTGGGCACTCCCTGCAAAGAACACAAACCATCAGTCGATCGGCAGCTGAGACTTCGAGGTGTCAATGGGACCTCTGCTATGGTTGGACCGCAGCAAGAGCACGGCAACATTCCGAGCTGAGGAAGAGGAGGAGAGTGAGAGATTAGATTGAAGGAATATGCGTGGTGACCGATACGGCAGCTTCATCGCCCGCGAACCATAAGGACAACAAGCTGTGGTTCTGACAGAGATACTCTTTCCAGGTGAACTCAGATCTTTGCGCCTCCTGGAAGCATGCACAGAGCAGGGAGAGAAGAGGACAGAAGTCGGGACAGCATGGAGAGCAGGAATGATAAAGGGAAGAGGAAATCAGGGAAGAGGAAAGGAAGGGAGAGCAGGCAGGAGTCGAAAAATCGATCAGATCTCAGAATCGTCAACGTGGATTCCTTACAAGATGCCCAAAGTCCATCGGTCCTCCGAAGACGCCATCTTATCGCATACCGTCAGCGATTACACACGAACAAGCTTGACGCCCTTTTCACCTGTAGCACCCTCGTTCAAGAGTCCCTCTTCTTTCATGCTGAAGTTTGATCGGGGACAGAACTGCAGTTTCAATCACACATGAGATGGCGACAGCGCTGGAGGAAGTTGGTTGAACGCCGTGATTGCGGGTATTCGAGAAGTGACATGCAGACATTGGAGATGTTCCACTATCGGGCAACACTGGGGCAGAAGCAGCAGCAGCAGCAGCAGGCGCAGCAGCAGCAGCAGCAGCAGCAGGCGCAGCAGCATGCGCAGGAGCAAGTCGCATCGCTTCTTTCAGCACAAACTGTCGCCCCCCCGACAGAAACTAAAACTTTTCTATAGCGGAATAAAAAGGCAGAAACAATATCAATAGCACAAGGATTTGCTGCCCTGTACTGCTCCTGCTCCCGCTCTCGCTCCTGCGCCTGCTCCTGCTCCTGCTCCTGCTCCTGCTCCTGCTCCTGCTCCTGCTCCTGCTCCTGCTCCTGCTCCTGCTCCCCTGTGCTCCTGCTCTATTCTCGAAACCCATTCTATATCCTCTCGTTTTGCCTTCCTTCCTCCTTCCAGTGGCTTCACTACAAGTTGAGCGTTTCTGGCATGCTGTTCCGGTCGCCATCATGATGGTGGTGATGGTTGTATGCATTGCCCCAGAAACTGGCAGCTCTCTCCCTCCTGCCTCCTCCTCCCCCGCCCTATATCCTGCTGCTGAACTGCAAATCTCGGAACGAAAGGAAGGGGGGCATGCAGACATCTGTGGAGACCGGCTCGGACAACATGGGGCCTCCAAGATCAAGAGATCGAAGAAGCAACCTCGTGTTAGAAGGCTGAAGAACCAGACAGATACTGCTGCAAGGGGAAGAAACAAGTGCATGCAGCCGGGCTGCACAACTTTAGCTTCATATGGAGATATCTCAAACAAAGTTGCGGTAGCATGCGCAAAACACCGGAAAGAAGGTGATGTGTAATTATCTGGACAAGAGATAGTCGAGATGGCCATGGTTTACATGTTGTTGCTACAGGACATGTTGATGTGAAGAATCGGAGATGTTCTGCTATCCTCTGGGACGGATCGCAATGCACAAAACTTCCGACCTTTGCCCTCCCGCACGAGAGGATACCTCGTCAGTCTGCCGGCAAGCTCGTGTTGTGTCGTGACATGGTAGCAGGATGCTGTCTACTGCACTCGCCACCGGGCTACGTGAACGTGAAGAGAAATGGCAAGAGAAAAGTGAGACGATGCCAGGTGAGAGTTTTCAAAGAGATCCAATGAGATGATGACAGTGATGTTTGCAGGCCATTGATTGCAACAAGGTCGCGTCCTTCGGGAACATGGTGCGGTATCAACCATGACGAGGGGACGGAAGCAGGAGCACGAGCAGCACCAGCACCAGCATGAGCAGCAGCAGCAGCAGCAGCAGCAGCAGCAGGAAGTGAGGGAGAAAGACGGGGTTGAGGGAAGCAGGAGGAGGAGGAGGTGGTGGTGGTGGAGTTTTCAAATGTAATCCTTGGACAAAACAGACAGGAGGAGTTGCTATGTTCTGTGGGAAGCATCGTGGATACTGGGATGTTGATGTCCGACATCCCCGATGCAGGTTCAAGACGTGAGAGACAAGAGGAAGGGAGGGTGGAGGAAAGGGAAGGAGGGGAAAAGGGGGGGGGGGAGGGGGGAGGGGGAGGGGAGGAGGGAGGGGAGGGAGGGAGGAGGAGGAGGGAGGGAGGGAGGGAGGAGGACGGAGGAGGAGG